CCCCAAAACCCCAAAACCCCAAAACCCCTGCAGGTTCGAATTTGAGTTCTGTCTTAAAAAGCAAAATATTAATTGATATAAAGAATTTTCTAGAAGCAATATATCATTAAAAATGGAAAAAGACTAGACAACTGAGCAAATTCAAACTGAAGCATAAACTCAAGAAGAACAGAGAATAGAAGAAGAAAGAAAAGAATCAGCTCTTTTAGCTTCTATTAAAGAATTTGGAACAAACTCAGTAAGTTCTGAGAATTAAATTATGAAACACTCCTTATTGGCAATGATCCCTAAATTAACTTTACTTTTAGTACTATTATGCTCATGCTCCAAAGAACTTCAATACCGAAGGAGCTGAGGTATTTAAAGGCGATGGACTAATTTATGGAGGAGATCCAGTCTTACTAGGTCAAAGAGAAGTTAAAAAGAAATAGGAGGTTTTAGCAGTGAAGAAAATTACTAAGTACTCATGGTTAGATGAAGAGGCCAAAGTCAAGATCTATATTGAATTGGATCAATTCAAAGGACCAATTACTGATGCAATGATTGAAGTTAAATATGAAGAACAAGGCTGTAACATTAAGATAGTTGATGAAGCATCCTAAAGTCACATTCTCAGTATACCCAAGTAATTGAAATTTCATTTGCTTTAAAACTATCATCTAGGTTATATGAAAAAATTGAACCCGAAAAGTCATCACATAGAGTAAGATCTAATAAATTAATAGTGACTTTACACAAATGGCTTGAAACAACATGGAGGGAGCTTCTTAGAGCTAAGTGAAACCTTTTGCATCTTTAGTAGGATCATTTATCCCTAGCAAATTTAGTTATTCTATTCACTAGTTAATGTTTAAGATTAAAAATTTAAATATAAATATCATAGATAAATTATCAATCACTAAGATTGCTATGCAATAATTTGACCTAAATATGTATATCTAGGTACAGTGAGTTTTTCTGGCTACCAAATTTTTCTACCTCCCTTATCATTATTTAAAAATTTTGTGGTCGCAATCATATCATCCTTGTACGAATCCAAGTTTTCTTTATTCTTAAAGCCTTCTCTGTCTTCCTGCTCCTTGTATGCTAAAATCTCTTCGATCCTAAATGAAATAATTAAATGGGTAATCAATATTACCCTTTGACTTCCTCATTGCTAGAGTACCTTAGTTCTTCTAAATACTCTCCTGTAGCATATTGTATCTTGTGATGTCTTTCATTCCAGTCCTCAAATTATACTTGTAATGAGTCCAAATACTTCTTGCAACTTCCATATTTCTCATCTTTTAGACAATTCCTAATCAAGTCCTATGTTTTATTCAGCTATTGGGCATGATTATTTTAAGTCTAACTACGATCTAATTTGGTATTAGTCCTGTTTTGCAATTTATAATTCGGAAATTTATGCTGGTGCATTTTCGATCTCTATTGTCTATAGGATGTGTTTTCATTAATTATCGAATTCTAAAACTTTTGATTGCTATGAATATCTCTAGGAGTGTATTTGCCCAAACTTTTTGTGTTATTACTGAAAAAGCTAGATGAGGACTAACCCAAAGATGAATTCATAATCAGATATTATCCGCTCATAGCCTAATTTTCATGTTAGTTATTTTAAACTCTGATTGAGCTAGAGAATTATCCATTAGAATCCATTGTGGTAGCAGCATTTGGAGACTAAACTGAGGTATTTTCTTAGCCGCCATGTTTAGCTTTCATTTCTTATGAGAAAAAGCTTTAACTGTTTCTTTGCCTAGCTGTTCCGATTCTTTTACGCTGTTATTTTCCTGAACTGTGGAGATTTTACTCATCTTTTGACTAGAGATTTTGCATGCTAGTTATTATAATTTAGTTTTGCTCTGGCTATTTGGTTTGAGCATTGATTAGAACACTAGAAAACTTCCTAGGAGAATCATCATTGATTATGCTGTGTCCACTTTCTAATCGTTTTATTGATTAGGATAAGTCCTAAGTTTATCTTTCACTATCGATGTTAAGTTATCTTCTGTGATCAATAATGGTTGTGTTAGCATTTTTAAGTATTCTTTTAGGAATGAATTAAAGTCCATTTGCCTCTTCTTTTATCTTTGGAGAGAGGGAGTCAAACATTTAAGTCTGATTCGCCTTTACCAAAGTGTTTTAATCTAGAAAAGCTACTTGTTTCTTGGGGGATCTTCTTTTTCTTTCATGAGAAAATTTACTGGGTATTTTCATAAGTTCTAGTTCTTCAATGGTAGGTAGTTCATCTGCATTATTTATTTTTGAAGTCATCTTTTTCTGCAATGCAATTAGATCTCTCAGATTATTCCTCTTTGGCTTATCTGTATCATCAGTTTTTCTAATTAATTAAGCATTTAAAAAAATAGGATTCTTACTTTACAACAAGTCTCAATTTAGCCTTGAGTATAATCTGCTGTCTCTACTTTTCTTCAGCTGGGTCTACTTCAAAATACCCAGCTTAATTTTTTCTGTTGTAAGTTTTCTATAGTTATTCAGGATCATTTGAAACTTCCCTAAAGTACTTTGGTTTATGTCTTTTCATTTCCTGCTTAAGTGACTCCTCAATAGCTTTAATTTTATTTTTAGTAAAAGATTTATCTGTGAGTTTTGATGCATAGAAATGATAGAGTTTCTTTCTAGACTTATTTGCCTCAATTTCAGGATCTATAGTAAATCGAGGGGAGTTATTCCCTTTTGTGGCAGCTCTTTTAGGTTTCATTCTCAGTGGAAGCTTGTAAACCTCTTTATTTGACATCTTGATAGCCTGCTTATAGGTCTTCTCCTTGAGGATGAATTCATTCACAGTTTAGATAGTATCATCTTTAACTATCCTCTCTGTCATAATCCCATTGAACAAGTATTACCCGAATACAGAGTCGAGATTGGGGTTGTACTCTTTGTGCATGAATTTATTTGATCTTAGTGTTTTTCTAAAGCTTTCAATCGAGTCATCCTTGCAAGAGTATCTCATCTGCCTCGGTATTTGAAGGTCGCATTTGCCTACGTTTTAGTAATGAGACAATTCTATTTCTCTTCGAATTCTTTGCTTGAAATCAGCAATAGTCTCGCCTTTCTCTTAGGTTAAGTTTGGAGAGGGCAAAGTCACCATCTTATTTTAGTCAGGAGTGGGTGTTCAGTTCAAAAGTGAATTCCTCCTATTTATTGAGTTAGGACTTGGACATTTAGATGTCATTCTTAAATTCTCTCTTCTTTTTAATTATTAAGAAATAAGTATTATTAAAAGTAGACTCAGAGTATAATAAAATTATAACTCGATTATAATGGGGAACTGCAATTTCAGGATAGAAAGAGAGAAAGACTCAGTTACTAGTAAAATCATTTCCATCACTTTCAATTCTAATCTGTTTATTTCTAGTTTTATCAAAGAACAACTTTTAATTTTGGTATGCAATCGGCAGAGGAGGGTTCGGAAAGGTATGGAAGGTAGAGAAAAAAAAGGAGAAGGAGACTTTTGCAATGAAAGAGATGTCAAAAGCTAGAGTTATGGCAAAGAAAAGTGTCCAGTCGGTGATGAATGAACTGAAACTGCTATCGCAAATGAAAAGCTTGTAAGTGAACCAATCTTAACAAGTTCTAATTTAGATTCTTAGTAAATATGCATTACGCATTTCAGGACAGAGAGAATCTGTACTTGGTCATGGACTTGCTGACGGGTGGTGATTTGAGATATCATATTGCAAAATAAAGAAAATTCAATGAAGAGGAAACCAAATTTTTCATAGCTTGTTTACTTGAAGCGCTAGAGATAGTGCATGGATGTGGAATTATACATAGAGATATCAAGCCTGAAAACTTGGTATTCGATTAAGATGGGTATTTAAGACTAACAGATTTTGGCATTGCGAGATATTGGTCTCCAGATAATGCTTAGGAAACCTCGGGTACACCTGGCTACATGGCACCAGAGGTAATGTGTCGTCAGAATCACGGGGTAGCTGCTGATTACTTCGCAGTGGGAGTTATTGCTTATGAATGCATGAATGGCAGAAGACCATATGTTGGAAAGAGCAGAAGAGAAATTAGAGAGTAAATTCTAGCTAAATAGGTTTAGATTAAGAGATTTGAAATCCCAGATGGATGGACTCTTGAATCAGCTGATTTCATTAATAAGGTAAAGAAAGCTTCATAATTTCTTTATTAATTTAATAGTGCTTATAAAGAAAACCTTCAAATAGGATAGGATTGAATGGCAATCATGAGGTTAAGTCACATAGCTGGTTTAAAGATGTCAATTGGCCTAAGTTAAAAGAGAGAAAGATAGTTCCAACCTTTATTCCCAATTAAAATGAAGATAATTTTGATCTAAAACATGTGAACAATAATGATTGGAAAGATGCTGATGTAGTAAAGGATAATCAACTTCTATTACGAAGAAACTCAATTCAAAACCTATTTAAAGGATATTATTACGATAAAAATAACCATACAGTAGTGACACCAAGCACCAAATAAAATTCAGTCGTTGTTGACTCCGTTAGTAAAGAAGTAAAAGGCATCGATGTTGAGGGAGAGGAAAATGTTGATGATGATGCAGATGCCAAATGGAACTAAATCCCCGAGAAAGACAATCAATGATAAGTTGAAAAAGATGTTAACTTTTAATCATCTCGTATTGAAATGAAGATATATTTATGTTTTGTTGTTATATACTTTGTAATCTAAAGCTTTTTAAGCTTTGGTGGTAAGATAATATTTTAAGATTTAAAGGTTAATTTTTATTTTGTAATTTTTACTAATAAAAATTAAATCTGCAATATTGCATTTCGGGGTTTTGGGGTTTTGGGGTTTTGGGGTTTTGGGG